CAAATTTTTGTGTTAGATGCAAGTTTTTTCGTGGTTTTTTTGAAAACAAATGCGAAAATCTAACTTATTTTTTCTTATTCATATGCAAAAACTGCAAATTTTTATTGTTAAAAACTTGTTAAATTAATGCTAAAAATTTTTCATAATTGCTGAATTTGAGTACTATTCCCTATCTTAACACATTGTTTTTCCAATATTTTTGATTAATTTACATGCAAAAAAGAGATTTTTTTATGAATAAAATTAAAACGAAGATTTTCCTTTTCTTTAATTATTAAATGTGTAAGAAAATCCTCTTTCAGTTTTCTTTAAAATGCGAAAATATTTAATGAAATTTTTCTTAATTTGCGAGATTTTCTTTGATTTTTTTAACAAGTGTGTAAAAATATTATGAAAAGTTTTGCATGGTGCAAAAATTAATGTAAAGTTTTTAACATGCTTGCAAAAATTGGTTTAAATTTTTTACCATCTTTCTAACAAAATTCTATAAAAGTATTTACCAGATGCATAATTAGTTTAATTTTTAACAAATTTTTACCATTGAAATTTCTTAACAAACTTTTCTACGATCTCTTTGTTCCTATCTCTTGAAAAAAATTTTACTAGATACAAAGAAATTAAATTACAAAACACAAGACAGTAACCAATTTATTTACAAATCAAAGAGCTGTCGAGCAGCTGAGTTCTCAAAATTTTGCAAGTTCTCAATGGAGCGCAAAGCTGGTCTTGCCTCCATCACTGGTGGCTGTCTTGGTGGTTCGCTGACTGAAGTTCTTGGCTCAGAGAACCCCTCATCCTCTTCGATGGTAATTGGGTTGTCCACAGATCCCTCTTCCCAAGGAAAGAGGAAATCGTCGAATGGTTGGGCTACATATCTAGAGTTAGGAATTTCGGGGTAGTTCATTCCCACATGTTCGGCCACTTCCTCCATCATTTGCATTTCTCCAAGTTGATTCTCTGTAGGAGGTACTTGCGTTATATGATGCTCGTTGAAATCCCTGCGCATCACCTCCACCATATGCCAGACTTGGATTGGGATGTCCATTCGTGCCAGAAAAACTCCACAAACTGTTTCTCGCACTTGGATTTGTACTAAATCAGCCGAAAATTCCACCGAGAACATAAGGTTGTTGTTTTGTACTGAGAAGATCATTTTGAGCAATACGTTGAGTAAATGATTAAAAACAAGATTTACAGTTGAGAGGGAGAAAGTTGCCGGTAGTTATGTTGAAATTATTGTATTTAGAGCTGAGAGAGGAGGTAGTTGACGGTAGTTAAGTTGAAAATAAAATAATTTTTAGTTAAGAGAGAGGGGTACCTTCAACTGGAATGTGTGGGTTTAACCAATCAGAATGAATTTTCCTTATTTGGATTGTAGTCGTGTCCAATCAGATTTTAGTTTCTTTTTATGGAATTC